TGAATATTGTAAGTGAAAGGACACAACCTTGATGAACACTAGTTCTTATTTTAAAGGATTCTATCAGTTCCCATATACACAGAGATGCACTGATGTACGCTTTTAAGAGTCCAGCGATCTTCTCTGGAAAACTGTTGCGTTCCATCACCCTCCAAAGCGCCGTTCTATCAATTGAATCGAAGGTAGTCCCAAAATAGATGGAGTGGTAGTTGCAGATATATCTGGCCAGCATAACGGCACTCCGGCTTGATTAGGACACATTCTGTTGTCTTGTACGAACACAGTAAAAGGAAAACAAAAATTTTCGCTGAGACATCTAGTAGGCTGATTCTCCGATAATTGTTGCAGTATGTCCTATCAACTTTCTTGAAAAATGGGAGAAGAATTGTTTTGCTTATATCATCTGGTAATATTTCTTTTTCCCATACTAGAGAGTACATTTGTTGAAGGTGCTTTATGAACAGTGATGGACAACATTTGAAGAGATCAGTCCAGAGAACCACCTTCTCCTGGAGACTTATTGGCCTTATGCTTATGGATAACTGAGATTATTACTTCTTGAAAAGGCGGAATAATTTCCTATTATGCCTAATCGAGAATCTCCAATCTCAAGGCTATGTCGCTCCAACAGTAATTCCTGTTCCGCTGTGCTGCTGTCGTTGCAATCCTTGGAAGCATCCAGGATCTCCTGACATTCACACCTTGGCAGCGTTTGCAGATAGTTGCACAGTTGCTTCCGATACCCAATTAGCGCACTTCCTACTATTATGTCATAGCGTGGAGGCGACTGATTTTCGGAGACATTTCTTTAGTTTGAACCAGCATTCATTTGACGTTCTAGAAATGTCATTAATATTTATACCATTTAGGTGTTTCAATAATGGTTTGAAATGCGCTCACTGTACCTGAATTTTTTAGTTTGAGATAATTGAAAAATCTTGTGCTATGCTGTTTCTTGCGAGTCGTCAATTTTATGTGGATCTTACCTCGGACCATAGTCAGATCCATGAAAATTGTCCATTTCAGCGACGCGATAGGAACAACTATCTAGTACAGAACTCTCCCAGCGGCAATTGACTAAGATATAATTAATCTGGTTGAATATTCAACGATTACTGGTTGTCCGGGGAGTTCCATGTGAGATGTTAGAAGCAAGAAACAAAAAGTTCATGCTCTTCGGCATAACAAAGAAGATGTTTCCCATTGGCACACCGGTTTCCGATGCCATATTTGCCAATTGTTGAGGTCATCGCAACGGCATTATGACGTACGCGTGCAGTCTCTCCCGACTATGATCATGTCTTGATACTTTGTTAACAGTTGAAGTCCCGCATACAACTTATCTTTATCCTGGTTATCTGCCGACAGAGTTGGAGTATAGACACTGGTGACCGAGATATTGCAGAACTTACCCTTAAACGGGCATAGGCCATACGTCGCTTACCGGTTTCCACTCAATCAAAGCGGAATGGGCCTTATCAGACATAACAATCGCTATGCCATTTCGTCCCGAGTTATCCGAAGCACCACAGTGATATAGCCAATATCTCTGCTCCGAACTAGGATTAGTAATTACTCGAGACCGGAAGTGAGGAAGACAGACTTCAGACAAGCAAGTGATATCCACACGATATTTGGAAAGGGTGTGGAGAGTGATGGCTTGACTTGCAACGTCAATAAGCATTCTGACGTTCCACGCTGTACGGCTAACACCTAGCCACATAGGGCAGAGGGCCGTTTCCCTTGATAGGTTTCGAGCAATTGTCCTGGCTTGTGAGCATGTTTCATTTATGAATCTATTTATGAACCTTGAGATCATTTTATGCCAGCATTCTATACTTATTGCATGTTATTATTAGATTTTTAAACATTATTATTTTATTATATTATATTATATACGCATAATATTGTAATAATTTTATAGTTTACATAGCATAATAATTTTATATATTATATAATATTATTATTAATATTAATATTACTATTAATATTTTCTTTACTATTAATATTTATAGATTTAGTAGATATTATATTATTTGAATTGAAATATTTAATTAAATAATGCTATTTTATACTTTTATATCTGTAATTATTATATTGTGGTTTAAGTGCATTATTACTAGAATTATACACTTGCATTACTACTAGAATTATACACTTACGCGATAATAATAATATCCTTCATAATCGTTTTCAAACTAAAAGAAATCTTGGTAAATTCGAAGACAGAAAAAAAATTCATAATTCTGGTTAGAAAAAAGATTCTGACTAATAGTATTTAATATCACTATTAAAACAATAAGCATTTGTGATTGAGGTAACTCTTGACTCTTATTTTCATAAAAGTTGAAAAGTATTATTGTTCATCAAATATGGTACAAGGAACAGTTTTTAAATGATAAGATATCTAAGTTTCCATCGATTGTGAAGATTTTTATTATCATAGAATAGGTGAACTTAACAAATTGACTTATTTTGTCATTAGTCTTGAAACAATAATTAGCTAATATAACATGACTTGACATAAATATGATTATAAAACCACAACCACTAACAATATAATAATTAATAATTCAGCAAAATAGAAATTTTAGGGAGATACAGTTTTTGTTAATCTCTGCAATTCTTTCTAATTGCTAGCTTACTCGATTAATTCTTTTTAAAATGTTATCGCTTGGAATTTTAACAAAATAAATTTAGATGATAATAAACAGTTCAAAATCAAAATAATTAAATAATAAAACAACTGAATGAGAACGGCAAAAAACTTATTATTCACTGGGAAAGGTGTTTGGAAAAAAATAAATTGTGAAATAAAACTGTACATGAGAAGCTCATCGTGAACTTAACATCGTATATATAAGGGCAAGATCAGTTAGATTATCAACTATGTTATTCCGATTGAAGGCAAGCAGCACGGATTTGATTCTTGTTCCTTAGCAGGTGCAAAAGGATTGAACCTGCACTGAAAGCGAAATGCTGCTGGAAATACACCTACCTATTTATCCCAAAATGGCTATTTGAACCTAGTAGTCAGGAGATGCAAGTAAATTAAATTATTGCAGATCTCTTATTTCCCCTATGATATTTAATTTACGGAGACCCCATTAAGTTAACTGATTAATAATAACCCATCGAAATGATTGTGATTAATTTCAGTAAGTTAGAAATAAACCTCGAGAGAAAATTTCTTAAAATCAGTTAAAGTAAAATTACGCGAGTGAGAGAATAAGATAAGGAGAATAAGGAGTGTTAGCGAAATTTGATTCTAATATTATGTTTGCAACTAAATAATGTATATTCCAATCCATTTAATTACCTAAAAATAAAAAATTTCCAATTTAAAGATATCGCGACTATTTTTTGATAAAATAGTGCAGATAAAAGGTTCAACGAATAACTCAAAAGTTCTAGCGTTTATTGCGTACGATAATACTTTTTTTTTCATAATATTAGATTATACGAATATAAAATAAATAATTTTATCCTTAATAAAGATTTTATTAAGTAAACTAGTTCCACGCTGCAAGTGAACGATCGATTTATTCACGAATGCTTCCATTCCCTAGGAACATACTTTTGCATAATTCATAACTTTTTTTCTAGTGCCAATGTCAATTACTAGAAATTTTTTTCCTAACTATCTATTGACATATTGTTGTTCATTTCTTGATGAGATTCCGATTCTTTTCATTCTTTCTTCGGCTATTTTCTTCATTTCAGATTTTTGTTGATGGTCATTTCAACTGAACTCAACAGTCAGTATCATCCGCTGGGTTTAGACTAATATGCCAGAGAGTTTATAGAGGTACCGCTAGTATGATGCTGATTTTGGAAGAATAGGTTTACTCCTGCCGGGAGTAGAATCTTCGGCATTCTGAATTGAGTAGCAACCCACTGAGCGAGCCATTTTACTCTCTCTTGTTTTGTTCCTATTTGCCACCAGGTTAAGAATGGTGCTTTGACTGATTCGAATCCAAGCTTCGATTCTCAGTGGCAATTATCTTGCTTAGGATTACCGACACACTGGCGAATTTTTATGTATATCTTTGTTTTAATATAACGCTTTAATTTTTACTTTTTTATCACACTTTATCATATTTTTTATCATATTTTATGGAAAAAAACCCTTCGAAGTACTTTTTTTCGATATTTTTTATCCGCTTATCTACTCTTTCAGCTTATTATAAATGAAATCAAATCCAGCCAGCACAAGTCGTGGAAATATGGACTCTATTAAGCAAAATTTTGCGTCATAATAATTTTAAAATTCAATCTATTCCTAAAAATCTATCGGTGTGATTTGTTATTCCCCCAAATTTTCCCAATTTCTAATGTCTCTTTTTTCCATAAATCTTCTCGCTTTAATTATGTAAGACATTTCACATGCTCTTTAATCGATTTAATAATTTTCATAAATAATGCCTAATGATAATTTTTTTAAAACTACGTTTAAGAATTTTAGTGAGAACAAAGATTTATTCTAACAATTCTGGAGTTCCGATCATACAGATATATGAATTTAACAGCAAAGGGTTTCATCGATCCAATGACTTTTTCCTTTTAAACGGTAGCAAATGGAAGGGACTGGATAGTAACAGTTTTCTTTCATATCATTTATCAATTTTTCGCTTAGAATAAAAGATTAAATATTAATGAACTAATGCCTTTAGAAAGGTGAGCCTTTTTTTGGAATGCTGAGACAATGCTTAAAAACGTTCAATATACATTTGATATACATTTTACATACATTTAATCTCATAAATTTCTAAGTTTTTCTTTTAAAATTTAATTCTCAAAGCCTACTTTATCATTGCTATAAATTTCAGATTTTTTCTTCTTGAAATTACTTCAGTCTTTCTAAATTGCCGATATGAAAGAAGAACGAAGAAAATCATTTTTATAATTTTTCTGTTTTGAAATTTTTTGTTTAATGCTTTCGTCCAAGCGTAAAAAATTCACTGAAAAAAAAGTTGGTGGAATTATGGTTGATTTTAGATATGGAAAGCGAATATCGTGTAATTTTAAATGTTGGAGGGATTCGGCATGAAACATATAAACATACACTCAAGAAAATCCCTGCAACACGGTTAAGTCGACTAACGACAAATTTAGCAAATTATGATCCAGTTCTCAATGAATATTTCTTTGACAGGCATCCCGGTGTTTTCGCTCAAATATTAAATTATTATCGAACTGGTAAATTGCACTATCCACTTGATGTATGTGGTCCTTTGTTCGAAGAAGAATTACAAGTTCGTTTTAAAATTATCACTATACTCCGGAAACGATTATGAATGATTGCCCGTTGATTGCTTTATAACTCCGTTTTTTAAATTTATATGATCAGCTTTTAATCTCATTCTTGCATATTATAGTATGATTTTGCCTATCATAACAGCCATTATCCTTCATTCATGTTTAATCTGCCAATCAAAAAATTTGAATTGCCATAGGCTTTTCGAAATTAATGACTGATCAAAATGTCAAATATTGCTGAGGGATTCAATGAATGTTAAGGCCAATCATTCTCCACAATCTGACAATTATGAATTAATTCATAATGAAATAACTGAAGAGATAACTTGCATCAGATCCTTCCCAACTCCTGGGTGTTTAATCTCCTGGGATTTCATAATAATATCTCTTAATTATTCGAAAATGTTTAAAAATATTTCATCATAGCCACACAGTTATAATGGACTTGTGCCAAAGAATGAAATATATAAATCGGGGGAGTTTAGGAGAGAGTAATGAAGAAATTTAGTATTGGGGACTCGATGCGAATGAAGTAGAGCCATGCTGTTGGATGACATATACACAACATCGCGATACGCAAGAAGTTCTTGCTACCTTAGATAAACTGGACATCGATATTGATGAAGAAAGATTAAATAACGAGGAAGAAATTTATAGAAGGTGATAATCTTGCTTAGTTTTAAATCTCTTTGAATTATTTAGTTAAAATAGTTTTTTAGCGAATTACATTGTTGAAAGTGGCTGACGAAGGCCAAAGGAGTGAAATTTTTTGAAGCCAGTTGTGTCCCTGGTCTTATAATCACAGTCATTCATATGCAAATTTCGTTTTCCAATTAAAAAAAGATTTCTGGTCTAACGACTGTTATTGAACACAATACAGCTAGAATAAATAATGAATAATTCAAGAGGGCTTGAAAGCTAAATCCATCAAAACCAGTTCCATTATTTCGTTCACCAACTAGTAATATTTTCATTTGGTCCTAATGTTATGAAATAATTAACTAAACATTTTCTGAAACATTACATCACATAAAGAGGGATTTAAACTAAAATACATATTTTATAGGTCCTATGTTAATAATGATAAAATTTTAACAATAAATAATTTTCAACATGCACAATAATATTAATATTTTTTATATATAATAAAGCAATATAATACAATTTAATGCAATTTCTTTTAATGAATCCGTTGACAATAGTGTAATGTGACATTAATAACACGCATAATAACAAAATAACAAGAATAATAATGATTAATATTAATCAATAGAAATAAATGATTCCTTGTCAATACAAATAAGAATTGCCACAATGTTCCAAGGTCTCGGATTATTTTTATATTCACTTTTATATTTACTTTTTATTTTTTATATTCACTTGTCATAATACGAAATGTGAACTTAGCAAGAACGCCAATCAAATTAATCATTATCGTTTTCATCATATTTTTAATGAACGGTTGAGAGCAAACAGCTTAAAAATTTAAAATTCAAATAAAATAATCTAACTGCATAGGTTTAGATTTGGATGGGAGGATGATTATCATAATGATTCTTTGTCAACTTGGCAGAAATTGAAGCCGAAGATTTGGCGATTGTTCGATGAACCTTATTCATCTCAAGGAGCGAAGGTACAAAGAATTTGAAACTATAACTCCTTGAAATGAAAAAAATAAATATTTATTTGCCCGATACATTTTACAATCGTTCACTGCATTCCGTTTATCTTAATTTTTATAGGTTGTAGCTGTCATATCAGTCTTCTTTCTGATCGCTGCCATTCTCGTGTTTTGCTTGAAAACTCATCCAGGTTTGCGGGTTTCGGAAATTTATCCTATGCAGACCAATCAAACTTTTAGGCAATCTCGTTCAAACGGTGTAACTTTCAAATATCGTACTGAGTCAATCGGTGTTGACAAAACAAATTCGAAACCACATCCTGGTTTCTTGGTAAGCATTATTTGTCCAAAACTAAATGCTGATTACTAGTCGACGTCGATTTAGAAAGATTGCAACTTTATATCACTTTGATATTATGAATGAAGCTAGGAAATTTTAATTCATGAAATTATAGAACAACAAATCACTTAAGGATTATAAAAATTAAAATTGAATTAAAAAAATTGCAATTTCAGGTGGTTGAAACTATATGCAATATATGGTTTACTATTGAAATAACTATTCGATTTATTTCATGCCCCAACAAAATCAAATATTTTCAAACACCTGTAAGTTCCGGTATATTCTTATAAAATATACTGCTTAATAGCGTTGTTCGCTTAAATGCTTCGAAAACTAGTTTAGAAACAAAGTGGAAGACCGCAAGCTTGGAGTTGAATCATTCCTGATTCGTTTCTTTGCATCGTTGTTCCTAAAAGTGCAGTGATTTTGATTCGTTTTTTTTTCATTGGTGTTCTTTTCCACTGGCCGTTTTATGATTTTAGGTGAACGTGATCGATTTAGTTGCTACCATAACTTTTTATGTGGATCTTCTTTTAACCACATTTGGCACTACAGCTGACTTGGAATTCTTCTCAATCATTAGGATAATGCGATTATTTAAATTGACTCAGCATTCAAGCGGCTTAAAAATTCTTATGCACACTTTCAGGTATATAATTTTCTAAAAAACCATTAAACATTTAATTAACCAAAAAAAGGGATGGTCAGCAATAATGGAAGCAATAAAAAATAATATCGCGAAATTCCTCCAATTATATCTTCGAAGTGAATTATCCTCTGATTTAAGCCAAATCGTTTCCAAATCACTATTTTAAAAAATATAAATTTGTGCACATATTCAAGGAAATATTTTCTTAGACCATGATAACCAATTCCTTTTGAGAAATTTTGCTATATATTTCCATATAATTTATTGTAAATAGGCTACCATTTTATGATTTATGCCACTAAATAAGCTTAAATCTTTTCCATCATCGATAAAACGGAAATTTTAAGAGCGAGTGCAAAGGAACTTATGTTGCTTGTCTTCTTTTTGGTTCTTGGTATTGTTGTGTTCGCATCACTTGTTTATTATGCCGAACGCATAGAAGTGAACCCGGATAACCAATTTCAGAGCATTCCACTCGGTCTTTGGTGGGCGGTAAGTCCTTTTTCTCTCTTTATGCCAAATATTGAAATTTACAGAACTTACAAACCACTTATTCGCCCATATTTACAGATAGTGACAATGACGACGATCGGTTATGGTGATATGACACCGCACACTTACCTTGGTCGTATCATTGGCTCTGTATGTGCGTTAGCTGGTGTATTAACTATTGCTTTGCCTGTTCCTGTAAGTTTTGAACTTAGAAAAATGGAATATTGGCCATGAATCACCGGCAAAATGCACACCATCAATAAGTTTAATAAATTTATGTTGAAATTGATAGAAAAGCATAGTTTTTAATTTTCCTGCTCCCTTTACTCAAAAATATTTCAAAACCCACTGTTTAACAAGAAATTTCGCTTAGTTTCATCAAAAGCAAAAATTTGCTATTATATAACTCGCCTATACACGATTTCATGTAATTGTATTGTTTTAGATTGTTTTAAATTTTAGGTAATTGTGAGTAATTTCGCAATGTTCTATTCACATACTCAAGCGCGATCAAAAATGCCGAAAAAAAGACGAGGTGTATTAAGTTTGGACCAGGTGATCTATTTTGCTGAAATATAAAGTATCAGACCACTTTTATTCGAATGTCTTTGACTTTGATGTTTCTTTATAAATTGTGAAAAACTTTTTTTTTTCTTTTAGATAAAACAGCAGCCTGGAATGCATCATCGACGCGCGATCATTGACGAAAAACTTCCATTTAATCGACGAAATGGACCTCAAGGAATCAATTCCAAGTGTCCTTGATAAGATTTTTATGCACACCTCCCCACCCAAAAATGAAAAGGTCTTAATCAACATATAGATCATCACTTAAATAGGATCAAAAAAGCAAAATTTTAGCCTAACACCCACTCTTTCAATAATTTATAAATCTTTTAAAATCCAAAATTTAAAATTTAAATATTGAACAAATCTACACGACCCTAGGAGATGTAAACTAAAGAAATTAAAATTTAGGGATTTATCCAAACTTCCATACTTTTCGTTGCATGCTTTTAAAGGTTATCGCCATGCACCCATCTATACTCGTTACAAAATAATTTCCAACGACAATACATTCTTATCACATTTCAGAAATCGAAGCATTCATATCATTAAATCTTATATGTTCTCAAAACAATCCTGACTAAGCAACTTTTTGCTCAAGTCTTTCATTTTCATTATTGTATGAATAAAATCTTTTCATTATAAAAAATCGCAAGATAAAGCAGTAGAACTGAATACCAAACTCTTTATATGGCATCAAAACGAAAATTTACAAAAAGTAAGCGCCCAGCCTAAATCCTTCTCGAAAAATTTGCATGCACTCATATTTGCAAAATTTTTATCACATTAGTTCCATATCAATTTCAATTTCAAAAGTTTCGGTCCATACTGTATATTATCATTAATTAAACATTTGCACTTAAAAAAAATAAGAATTAACAGAAAAAGATGCCCAACAAAAACTTGACTAGTAAAAGCCCATTGACGTCGAAATTTTATCAAAGTAAAATTTGGAACGAAAAATTCGGTGAGCATAGCGAAACTTCACCCAACATATGAAAAAAAAATCGTGAAAAATGAAAAGTATAAAGAAAAATTATCCCTCAAGATCGCAAATGGAATTCAAAAATTTGGAAAGTAAAAGTTGGCTTCGAATTTCACAACTAATAACAAAAAAAACGACGAGTAAAGACTAAATAAGGTCAAAAAACGAAGATCCTATAAGGATCTGGAATGAGGAATTAGCCAGCCATAAAGTAATTCATTAAAATTTTTTAGAGCCCTTTCAAAAATGACTCTCGCAATTGATGAGCGACTCCACATCCGACATAATGTATTCGACGATTCCTTACTTAAAGAAGAGTTGAGATCCTTAATAAACTATCTGATTATCCATAAAAGGGAGGTAGGAAATCAATAACCATCTGTGTTCCATTCCCAAAAAAAATTTTATCAAATTTTCTAAAATAAGCAACATAAATAAGACCGCGCCTGCTAAAAAAAAGTAAATAAGAAACGATTTTCACAAGACTCTTCCTGTAAAAATATGAAATTTTTTTCTGAAATAAATCTTTATAAAAAGTACAGTATGTATGAAAAAAAATATAAAATGGAAGAAACAAAATTATTGTTCATAAAATATTCAGCGATAAGAATTCACTCACCATCACTACTCTCGTAAGACACATCGTTTTGTAAATCGTCATCAATACCACTCTCAAAACGCTCACCAGTTTGTTCCTCATCGATGAAATCTCTTTCTCCTCCTTTTGACGAGTAATCGTATAAATCGTTATGAGGACCTTCTTGATCGATGCTTTGAGTTTTCCCTTGATCATCTATTTTCTCTGCTTCTTTTGCCGAGCGATTTCGCACCTTCGAATCTGCATTGCTTTTGATGGCGGTACCCATAACAGATTTCGCTTTAGATTCACCATCAGATTCAGGTTCAGCCGTTTGTGTTTTACCATTAGGTCCCGTATTCAGATCAGCACTCATTTGTTGCCGACGATGTTCGATAAGAGCTTAAAAAACAATAAAAATGGAAAAATTGGAAAAAATGAAAATAAAAAGAATTAGGACATACCGTCGATCTTTTTCGTAGACGTCTTTAATAATTCTAAAGTACGTAAGGTATGTTTAGAGGGTAAATAAAATATTGGAGGTTTAGCCTGTGTTTGAATAAATTTCTGTAATTTGCGGTAGTGATCTTGTTTCTGTTCGGCCTGAAAAAATCTAACGCTGAACTGGTGGCCTACTAAGAGATATCTTTGCTAACTTCTTGAAAAAAATAAAAATTTTAAGAAAATATTCTTTAAATACGTTCGCGAAAATCTACTAAAAATGTGAGAAAATTTCAATTTTGATGAAAAATAAATGTATACATATTGTATAATGGCTTTTTTCCTCTGGAGCGCTTTAATCAGACGTTCTTTTTCTCGCCTTTGTTCCATTAGCGCCGATCGTTCCTTGGCTATTCGCTCTTTCTCTTCCATTTCTTCTTCTTTTAGACGACGCTCAACTTCGCGCTGTTTCTCGGCCTAAAAAAGCGATTCCAAAAAAGAGCGGGTAAAAAGCGTAACCGCTATTTCTCTTAAAAAAAAAACTAACCTGAACTTTTTCTACAGATGAAATTTTTTTTTCCTCTCTCTGAAAACGCTGTAATGTTCCTTGTAAAAGATTTGAAAACAATCGTTTATTCCTAAAGACGAATAAATTATCATGAAGATGAATAAATTACCAGAGTAATCTAAATCTAAAAAATGTAAAAAGTAATATAAAACATATAATATAAACTATAATATAAACTAATAATATAATAGAAACGATTTTCACAAGACTCTTCCTGTAAAAATATGAAATTTTTTTCTGAAATAAATCTTTATAAAAAGTACAGTATGTATGAAAAAAAATATAAAATGGAAGAAACAAAATTATTGTTCATAAAATATTCAGCGCAACTAATAATATAACATAACCATATAAAAATATAAAACCAATATAAAACTAATATAATAATGTAAAATGTAAAAATTAAAACTAATAAATTAAATACGAGAAATGGAATTTAAAAAGAATAGAAAATCAGTAACCGATAAGATTGGAAAAATAAACATGTTTTTATTTTATTTTCACCTTATATTGGTTTCTCTCTTTTCGCTGCTCTTTAATTCGCTTATAGCTGCCTCCCTTGATTTCGTTTCAATAGTCGGCATTACAATAGAAGATTGCACAGTGCGCCGAACATCATCATTACTGGCATCAATTTTTAATCGTTTTGCTGAATCCTCATATATGCTAAATTAATAGAAATGATTTTTCCATTAAATAATGAATTTATTTGCTAAAATCATATCAGAACCTTCAACGGCATAACACACTTATAATGTTTCCATTTTTATTTCATTTTTTAAATATTTTTGATTTCTCATGTAGCAAAAGTAAAGTTAAATTAATTAAATTAATTAATTTAGCAATTTTAATGACAATTTGAAAAACATAAATGATAATGAATAACTCATTTTCGGTGGATATAACGATTCGCCGTTTGAATGGTCCATTTGGACTCACGTTGAGGTTACGAGCGTCTCTTCTATAACCGAATATCTTCAGATACTAATATTATTAAAGATTCTGCTTGCAAGAATACTTTTCTCATCATCTATAAATCTTAGCAATAGCTTAATTCAAATATTTTCGAAATTTTGGGATTTTGAAATGTGGAATCCTTTCACATCTTCTAAGAGCTCACATCAATGATTTGGTTGATTCCTGACGTAAGATAAAATGTTCCCAACTCTCCCGTTCCGATGCTATCTGAAATGACTGGAACTAATCCTTTCTTCTACCCATATATCGCTGGGCTGTCCACGCGTCCATCTAAACGTGGTAGACAGGTTTTGATTGGTCCTCTTATTTCATGACATCCACCACAGAGCAAGTTGGAAGATACTTATCAACTCAGAAATGAAAAACATGGCCCAAGCAGCGCAGACCAAGCCTTATAACGATATTGTAAATGCAGATGACATCCGAGCAAAAGTTTATGCAATCATATGAGAGCCTTAGCTTGGCGAGCAAGATGTAAAATTTATCACAGGTAAGAACGAATAAAAATGGATAAATTCCTGATACCTTTCATTGACCATCTTTCGCAACTGCAAAATAGGACTGTGCACACTATAACCAGGTGATTCTCGTTTTAGATCTAAAGAACTTTTGCCATATGAAACATCTACTTGCAACTATTATGGTCTGAATTTCTTCCTTCGCTTGACCATTAAGTATGAGAGTAGATCCAAGATTTTCTTGAATCGATGATGAATTTATAAAAATTGCGATCCTGTTAAATGAAACGAAGAATTTCCTTATATTGATTTGAGCAATTTTCATGGCTGTTAGTGACAAACAATCCAGTATCTATTGTATTTTTTCATAATTGCTAGCAAAGAGGACTAAGTCATTATTTGCTTTGAATTTATATCTCTCTCGAATACCGGTACCCATATAATCTAATCTTGCATAGTTGTTGGAAATTATATGGAGGAAGAGGCAACCTTCAACCATACCTAGTATTCCGAAAGTATGTATCAGTTTCTCATACATATGCGTTGATACGCTATTAAGATACTTTGATAAATCTGATTCCCTTCTCTGGAACACATTATGTAATATGAGGTTCGCTCTATCGATCGAATTAAAAACAGCTGCAAAGTCGATGAAGCATACAACGGTTGATCGTCAATAATTGAAGTATTATTCCAATGACCTTCTAAAACCATGCGCTGGCTTAAATCTAGCTTGGTAATCTTGTTACCAAGCATTATTATGAATCTACTAAATCTTCCCAGAAATACCTAGTAAGCAGATTCCTCGGTAGTCGAAATGCACCCTATAATTGAGAATTGGTTGTTCTGAATCAGTCACATGATGTTTACTCTATAGTCCATGCAGTGAATACAATCTTTACAAGTGAGTTGTAAATGACAATGGAACATTTGAAGAGTTCAGCTCAAAGACCACCTTCTGAGGGATGTTAATGACTTTAATGTATTGAATTACAAAGCTTGCTTGGTGCTTGGTTGGATGGCATGGCTTTAAAGATATCTTAATCATGTTAAGTCCAAGGAACTCTCGCCATACTTCTTAGAGATAGTCTTTCACAACTGGACTTCCATCTTTACCTGAGACCATTTCACCGATCGTCTCTAAGGCCAAGAAGCATGCAGGTTACTTTGCGAAATGTGCAGAATAATTTTAATTGTCGCATATTCGAGCCGACATCTCCATATTCGGTGCAATAATCTTCCATTAACGACTTTTATTCGTAGAAGTTGCAAGCCTACGAAACTGATAGTTACCATCTTTAGATAAGCTCGATCTGGTAGCACGGTCAGACAGCTTAACCATTTCATCCGAGATCTAACTTGATTCCTATACTCTTCCTATAATTCCTATACTCTAAGCCGAATTTGGCTGACTCCTGGAGATTGGATTTCAGCTGGGAGTAGCATTCAAATTGGCAGTGCCAGAAGTGATAGTAGTGTTAAAACGCTTCAAATGCTTGTATATCTCAACATGAAACGCGTCCATTGATATGTCCATGAATCTTTTAGTTTGAGGCAGTCAAAAAATTTTGGGAGAAATTTTGGATCTTTATTGTCAACTTTATTCGCATCTTGGCTCTGACCATAACATGGTACTTCAGTAACGTACATTCGGCTGTACATTCGGTTAGAACAATGAACAGACAACAATGAAATCATGAAGATAATTCTTAAATCAAATTTACCATACATACACCCAGTATAGACTCATATTTACTACTTACTATTTTCAAAAATATTATTATATATCATATTTACTATTTTCAAAAATATTTTTCCTTTTCCCTCGCGTATATACCAAAATGCTTCCCTAGCAAAATCAGTAAAAAGAAGAGTTAATGGAAATTACTCACCGATCTGCCGTATAGTTTTCAAATCGCGATCCGCCATCAATAAGCCGTCTTCTTAAACCAACGCCGAATCTACGAACAGATTTATTGTAAGGTATAAAATCGCCGAAATCGTCTATTGTATTTTTTTAAAAAACAATAAGGGAAGAAAAAAGAGACAACCTATCGCTTCTCTCCGACAAAGAGGCAATAGAATCTTCGATTGATCTCAAATCGTCGAATGCTTTCGATATATCGAGCGATAATTTATCCAATCCCATTGGTTATCTCAAGAAAATAAATTAATCCCAACAAATAATAATTCTTATTATATTAAAAGAAAAGATGCCATTCCAAGTCGAAACCAACGTAAAACATTGAAGAAATTTCCAGCCGACTTAACTGGCTTTCTTTTTTCATTTTTAAATATTTATTTAAATAATAAATACCGAATGCGCGATATAAAGTGGTGCAAACGCCTTGGAAAGTAAAATCTCTCGAAATTTTCTTCTCTTTTTATTTTAAAAAATTTCTTTTAAGCGCTTTTCATAGGGACTTTTTCGTCCTCACAAGCGAATATCCGAGACCATTTTTCAAGTACAACGTAGGACTCTTTAAAAACCAAGAAAAAAACCGAACGATTTTAAAAAGGAGAAAACGGGAAATCGATGACTGCATGAGATACCCAACTTCTCCCACTGAGATCATTCGGTTCTATCAACACTTGAAAAATTCGGTCCTTGTGGAAGAAGCTTTCGGTGGAATCTTGCGATTACGAGAATACGGGAAAACACTTTTTTATCCTGTATAATCTTTCCAGAAAAAATCTCGTCCAATACCATTTGCACTAAAATAATAATTTAGTTGTTTTGCATTTTTTGCAGAATTGGGCTGAATTTTTCTATTTGCGGGCCAAGGATATAAACGTGGTAAATATACTTTACCGTATTTACAAATGCAATATTGCGTGGTTGACTGAGGCACTGGTGAAGCTTTATTTGTGGTTGCGATAAATCTACCTTTAAATTGCGGTTGTGGCTGGGATAAATAAAGCTATTAATGATAGCAAATTTCCAACAAATATATATTGATGCCAAATAATTCAGTGGTAAAATAGCAGATATAACGAGAAGTGCGAAGGTTAAATATCCATCTTTAAAATCTATGAAATCTATAAATCAGTGAAAATAAACAAATACAACTGAGTTTATAACAATTATAACAATTATTTTTATTTATAAAAAAAGCCTATAAATTTCTATGGCTGCAAAATTTCACGGATCACGCTTATCGCAGATATCGCAGATTTAATTCATGCAAAGTTCACATCCACTCAGAGATCTTTAACGCACATGAAAATACTGAAGTGATCTGATAAAATATCCAGTGAGAAATTTTCGAAGTCGATTACCATTTGTCGCAAATTCGAAATTTGTGATGCGAATGTATAAATTTTTAGAATAAGAATTGCTGCTAGAATAGAAATAAAAATATTTGAAAAGGATGCATAAAATAAAATTAAATGCATAAAGTGCATAAAATTAAAATTAATTTTAAAATTAATTGTGCATAAAATGCATTATTAATAAAATAAAATTATAAAATAAAATTACGAAAAAAAAGAATAATGGCATTAAAATGAAAAAAATCAGCGATAAATTACATTCATTCACTGTATAATGTTCATTCATTTTGGTACCATACAGCTTATTAACGAACCAAATCAACCAAATTCATGGAGCCACAATGAGTTAAAAAGGATTCGTTCAACTATCTTAATAAATTTTTGCAGGTTTTTAGCGAGTACTACTTCTTTAAGAAGTTTATTTCAAACTATGACCACCCTGTTACCAAAACGAAACTGCCGACAGCTCTTGTGTTGATGATGATGCATAAGTTTTTAACTATTTTACATTAGAATTGATTAGCTACAAAATTTTCTGTGATCCATGGTAACATGAAGATTTTATTTTATAATTACATCAGCCTTAAGCCAATAGCCAGCCGTTTATATCATCGTCATTTTTTATAAAGCAAAACCATAGAAATTCTGCGAGCAAAGAAAAACTGGTGAAAGCGCTGAATACGCGTTTTCGATGATACGCTGGGTCCGCCTTATTCCTGGGGTTTTTTAAAAGAGCGCTACCACTACTGGTTAGACTCGCTGCGCTGGCTTGTTGTACTAGACAAATGTACCAGGGAGTTCCTTAACGAGAGAAATACAGATGAGTTGCCAGCACCACCCGAATTTTTGGGTGGGCTTATTTCTGCTGGGAGTACAACCTCAGAATGCGCTCGGAATTGAGCAATACCCGGTATTTATTCTCTATTTCTATGTTAAACGACATAGGTCGGCCTGATTCGAACTCAGACCTCGATTCTCAGTGGCAATTATTTTATTACTGAACCACAAATGCACCATTTATCATCGCATAACATACTGATGACATTTTCTACTCTTCATATTCTCACCATTACTGATAATGCTGGCTACGCTGTCTACATGAGTAAGTCTTCAAACTATTCGGTCCAATGCCATCGTTGATAGCAATAGCCAAATTTGTTGTAGCCATTTCTTTTTCCATCGTCTAAGTCCATATATCGCTGGTCCCACTATATGTTCAAAAACTTTCCTGACTGTATCAGTCCAGGTCTTGATTGGTCCTCCTCGCTTTTGATGCTTACCGTCACAGGGTTCAACAAGAAATACGTGTTATTTCCTG